ACCTGAATGCTTAAAGACCATTGTAGGGTTATTAATTGGCCTAATTTCAATATTGTTGTGTCTCAGGGAATAAGGGGCCCCAAGAAGAGGGAGAAAGATGAGGGAATGGTCAGTCATTAGGAGTAGTCAGAACACACACAACACTCATCAGTTAAGTTTGCCATTTTATATGAGTGAGGTTTGTGGTACCCCAAAACACTTAACAACAGTAACATCAAAGATCATTGATCATAGATCACCATAACAAATAAAATAATACTAAAAATGTTTGAAATATTTTAAGAATTACCGAAATGTGACATACACAAAGTGAGCAAAAACTGTTGGAAAAATGGTGCCAATAGACTTGTTCAAAATAGGGTTGCCATAACATTCAATATATAAAAATGCAACATCTGCAAACATAATGAAACGAAGCACAATAAAATGAGTTACACCTGTGTTAGAAAACTGACCCTAAGTTTCTATGGGTAGGCAAAACACAGAATCGCCAATATAATATTGAATGAGAAAAACAGAAGACTAACATTGACTGACTTCAGGATTTACTATAAAAAAACTTACTGTAAAGCAACAGTAACCAAGACAATGGGGTATTGGTGAAAATAGATCAATGGAAGAGAACAGAGAGCCCAGAAATAGACCCACATGAATATAACCAACTGATCTTTGACAAAAGAGCAAAGGCAATAGAATGCAGCAAAGATAGTCTTTTCAACAAATAGCACAGAAACTGTTGAACATCCGCATGCAAAAAAAAAAAAAAAAAAAAAAATCAGTGCAGACAGACACCTTATACCCTTCACAAAAATGAACTCAAAATGGATCATAGACCTAAATGTAAAATGCAAAAATTTTAGACTCCTAGAAGATAACATAGGAAAAATCTAGATAATTTTGGATTTGGCAATGACTCTTTAGATACAATAGCAAAGGCATAATCCTTGAAAGAAAGAATTGATAAGATGTACTTCATCCAAATTAAATACTTCTGGTCTATGAACAACAATTAGAATACTAGAGAAAGCAAGAGAACACTTACAAAGTAACATATCTCATAAAGAACTGTTGTTCAAAATATTAAAAAACTCTTAAAATTCAACAATAAAGAAACAAACAAACTTATTAACAAATGAGCCAAAAACCTTAACAGACACCTCAGCAAAGGAGTATATACATAGAAAATAGCATTTGAAAAGATGCTTCACATTGTATATCATCAGGAAAAAGCAAATTAAGCAACAATGAAATACCCCTAAACACCTATTAAAGTGGCCCAAATTTGCAAAATTGACAACTCCAAATGATGATTGGGGATGTCAAGCAACATAAATTCTCTTTCATTACTGGTGGGAATGTGAAATTGTACAACCACTTTGGAAGACAGTTTGGCAATTCTAAATAAAACTGAACATACTATTATTGTGAGATCCAGCAACTGTGCTTCTCAGTATTAACCCAAAGGAATTAAAAACATATGACCACACAGAAACCTGTATATGGATGCTTATAGCAGCTTTATTCATAATTGCCAAAACTTGAAAGCAACCAAGATATCCTTCAGTAGATGGATGGAGAAATAAACTCTGGTACATTTAACCAATGAAATATTACTTAGTTCTAAGAAGAGATGGGCTATCAAGGAAAAATTAGACATGGAGGAAGCTTAAATGTATATTTGCCACGTATATGCATATATACCATGTATATATACCATGTATATTATCATGTGAAAGAAGACAATATTATATGATTTCAATTTATATGATATTCTGGAAAAGGCAAAACTATGGAGACAGTAAAAATATTAATGGTTGCCAGGGGTTGGCAGTATGGAGAGGTATGAATATGTGGAGCTTATTAGGACTTTTAGCGTACAGAGGTTTTTTAGGGCAGTGAAAATACTCTGTAGGATATGATAACGATGAATACATGTCATTATACATTTTTCAAACTCGTAGAACGTACAACACCAAGAGTAAACCCTAAGGTAAACTATGGATTTGAGTGATTATAATTTGTTAATGTAAGTTTATCAATTTTAACAAATGTAGCACTCTGATGGGGCATGTTGATGATGTGAGAGTGCAAGTGTTGGGGAAGAGGGCATATGAGAATCTCTGTACACCCTTCTTAATTTTTCTGTGAACCTAGAACTACTCTAAACAAATAAAGTCTTTTTTTAAAAAGCATACTGGGAAAGGGGCACCTGGGTGGCTCAGCTGGTTAAGCATCCAACTCAGTCTCAGCTCAGGTCATGATCTTGCAGTTCGTAAGTTCGAGCCCCGCATTGGCTCTGTGCTGACAGCATGGAGCCTGCCTGCTTGGGATTCTCTCTCTCTCCCTCTCTGCCCCTCCTCCTCCTCTCTCTCTCTCTCTCTCTCTCTCTCTCTCTCTCTCTCTATCTCAAAACAAATAAACTTAAAAAAATAATCATTTAAAAAATTAAATTTCTCTTTTAAAAAAAGAGTACTGCGAGCAAGGAAGTCTGAGGAAGACACATGTGGATGGATCTATGAGAGTAAGCATAAAGAATGAAAATCTTTGTGTTGTGTCTTTTTAAAAGTTTATTTATTTATTTTGAGAGACAGAGTGTGTGTGAGCACAAGTGGAGGAGGGGCAGAGAGGGAGAGAGAGAATGCCAAGCAGGCTTCATGCTGTCAGCACAGAGCACAATGTGGGGCTTGAACTTATGAATGATGAGATCATGACCTGAGCCGATGTCAGGAGTCAGACACTCAACCAACTGGGCCACTCAGGCACCCCTGTATTGTGTCTTAAAGCCCACTAATAAACAACCACTGTGAAAGAGGCACTAAACAACCAAGTAGACAGAATGACTTGGACAGTGATGTCAGCAAATTTCTGCCATAATCCACCTTAGTGCTGGCACAATGAACTCATGAACAGAGTAGCTAGATGTCAGGGATAGAGGTTGTGTATGGAATCAGTGGCATAGGCCCCACACTCACCAAAGCTGATTTAGTTACCATTGCTGCCAAATGTTCAACTTGTCAGCAACAGACACAAATGTCAAGCCCAAGTATTTCAACAACCCTTATAGAAAACTAACCACCCACTTGGTGGCAAGTTGATAACACTGGATCACTTCTATTCTGGCAAGGGCATCAATTCATCTTGACTCGAACTGACCAGAATTCCTACTTACAAGGTCTCAGTCAGCATTGCTATCAGGGGGCTTATAAGATCCCTGAATGAGATCCCACATAACATTGCCTCTGACCAAGGGATACACTTACATCCCAGGGGGTTGACAACAGACATTTGATGATAGGATCCACTAGTTCTATCAACTATGAGAGCTGCTGGCCTGGTAGAGCAACAGAACTGTTTTTTGAAGGTATAGCTGTGAAACCAGCTTGGATATGATCTTAGGAAATGGGACATCAACTTCTAGGATAAACTGAAGACCATTATAAGTTGTTGTGTCTCCAGTAAGTAGAATACACGTGTGTGGAGGAAAAGGATAAAGGTAGTAGTAATCCATTTACCATCAGTATAAGTGATTTAACTAGGGAAATTTCTAATCCTTTTAACTTTAGGTTCTGGGGTCTAGACCAGAGCTGTCCAATAGAAATACAACGTGAATCACACATATAAATTTAAATTTCCTAGGAGTCACATTAAAAAGAATAAAAGAAAAAGGATGAAATTAATTTTAATTTTATGTACTTTATGTACCTATTCGTATCAGACACATTTCAAATGTTCAATGGCCACATGATGCTAGTAGCTCCTGTACTGGACAGTGCCAGTCTAGAGATCCAGGTTCCCAGAGCAGGAATGCTTCTACTAGGGACCCAGAAGGCACTTAATCACTTTAAGCTCCTTAGGCCAAGAAGCTAGCAGGCAAGCAAAGAAGTTACTGTACTGACAGGGTAATTGACTATCATCAGGGTCATCAGTAACAGAGCAGGGGCAGAGAATTCATTAGGCACTCTTGGTATTCTGCTGCCCAATTTTGGTGATTAATTGTCAAGTGCAGCAACCACAGCCTGAGAGGTCATGATGACCAGGGGCTCAGGTCCCTCAGAGATGACAAGGATGACATGGAGGTCATCCTTCTTGGTAAGCCCCCCAAGATCAGCAGAGACACTAGCTGAGAATAAAGGGACTCTAGTTTGGGTGACAGGGGAGGAAAAGAGGAGTACTTGTTGTTGTCTCCAGACAAGCTGTAGTAGTGTGAGTCAGCCCTTCTAGTATAAGCTCCCTGGGAAAAGGAACCAACTAGAATCCTGGAATATCTGTTCAAAGATGGGGTGAAATTTCTATACAAAGCAAGCGGACAGTAGAGTGTGGTGTGACGCATAGCTCAGATCCCCCTTTTAGGACCAAAGCACTCACTTCCCCAGCTGTCTGAGGTGTTGGCTGCAGAGAGCTGATAGTTGAGGGCCCCTCTGGGTATTGTCTCAGCCAAAGAGTGCTGACTGAGGTTATAGCCTTCCCACAGGCAGCCAAATCTCTTTTGAGTCAATTAGAAAGGAAAAACAAACAAACAAACAAACAAACAAACAATCCCTATTTCAGTGAGGGACTACTCCAAAGGGCCATCTTAGCTTTAGAGCTTCATCTATGGGATATGCTGAGGCCTACTGTAACTGCCCTGCACTTCAGCATCTACCTTCACCAATTTTGCTTTCTTCATTTCTTTAAAGGTGTTATGACTAAGAACATACACCAACAAACCTCCTTCCACGCATCTCCAACTCCAAGAAATTTGTTAGAGGACACATGTGCATTATGTAAAACACCAGGGTAATAACTAGGTAAGAAGGTAGGAATTAACAGTTTTCATCCCCCATTCATTTATAATTGCATGCCAGTTTCATGATGCCCTTTGGTGGCTGTGTAGGAGAGAAAAAGACATGGTCATTCTCTCCTGACCATCCCTCATTTCAGAAGAAGCATGGCTCTTCTCTTGGCATATGCTTCTTGAGGTTGGAGACTCTCAAACCTATCTCTGAGTTGTAAACACTTACCTACTTTAGGTGCTTTTTCACAATATATTTTATAGTCATCACTGATCTTCTGTATGGCCATCTTTGGATACTTATAGCAGAGTTCCCCAAAGGACATTTTCTCTAGGTCTATTAAGTAGGAAAGAAAGGTATAGAGTCTGATTGCCCACTCTAGCTCAAAGATTTATACACTTTTTATTGAAGGTATTACCTTTAAAATGCTAGTTAAGTAGGACAATAGTATTTTCTTTTTTTATGTTAACAGTTTAATTGAGGAACACAGGAAATGATGATTGGTCTAATTTATTTTACTATCTGTGCCCCTTCTGGTAAAGAGCTGATAGAAAAAAATTTTTAAATATGAAATTTATTGTCAAATTGGTTTCCATACAACACCCAGTACTCATCCCAAAAGGTGCCCTCCTCAGTACTCATCACCCACCCTCCCCTCCTCCCTACCCCCCATCAACCCTCAGTTTGTTCTGTTTTTATTTTTTTTTTATTTATTTTTTTTCAACGTTTATTTATTTTTGGGACAGAGAGAGACAGAGCATGAACGGGGGAGGGGCAGAGAGAGAGGGAGACACAGAATCGGAAACAGGCTCCAGGCTCCGAGCCATCAGCCCAGAGCCTGACGCGGGGCTCGAACTCCCGGACCGCGAGATTGTGACCTGGCTGAAGTCGCATGCTTAACCGACTGCGCCACCCAGGCGCCCCTGTTCTCAGTTTTTAAAAGTCTCTTATGGGGGCGCCTGGGTGGCTCAGTCGGTTGAACATCCGACTTCGGCCCAGGTCATGATCTCATGTCCGTGAGTTCAAGCCCCGCGTCGGGCTCTGTGCTGACAGCTCGGAGCCTGGAGCCTGTTTCAGATTCTGTGTCTCCCTCTCTCTCTGACCCTCCCGCATTCATGCTCTGTCTCTCTCTGTCTCAAAAATAAATAAACGTTAAAAAAAATTTTAAAAATAAATAAATAAATAAATAAATAAATAAAAGTCTCTTATGCTTTGGCTCTCTCCCTCTCTAACCTCTTTTTTTTTTTTTTTTTTTTTTTTTTTAACAATAGTGTTTTAATGAAATGTTTACACAAGGAATACAAGTTCCCCAGGCCAAATTAGAAGCAAGGAAATATCATCTTCTCTCCTCTCTAGACTGAAAGGATTCTTCCCTTCTTGGGGACACCTGACCCATGGAGATTTCCTGCCTGAGGGATACTAGGGTAACTGAGATATGACTTTGAAGTAAGTACTAATTGTTAACAGATATACAAGAAGTAATTCATCCAAATGAGTATTGATCCCTTCAAAGCAGCCATGTGTTGTGAATTGCAAATGTATTTCAAACATTCTACGATTGCTTCAAAGAATTTGGCACACTTAGGGATGATATATTTCAAATAACGTGCTAGGACCTTTCTCTTTCTTGGCTCTGCCTTTGGGAATTACTTTAAGAATTAACAGCTCACATGTCTGAATATCATTAACAGTTGCAAATCATTGTCCCTTGAGAGTAAATTATTTTTTCTAGAAATAGGCATACACCATTTCTAGTCATGCATAGTGAATTGAGAAGAAATACCTCTTTTGTATCCAAAATCAGATGAGACAGGAAGACTGAGACATCAAGGAAGTTTTAATCATGTACTGGGCAATAGATGCACATTAGCAGCACCTTGCTTCCTACCAACATGAAAACACTCAATCATGTTGTGAGTTTTGAGATTTAAAGTAAGTCTAATCTCACATAGTTCTCCAGGAACTCTCTTAAGGCAGTCCAGTGTTTTCTGAAGGTTATAAAGGTGAAATCTAGAAGGAATACTGGGGTGTGGACTCACAAATGTCGGTTGTCCTTATGTCAGTGTTGTCACTGTCATCATTATCATATATCAGCCAGGGAACTATGGTTGTAAGTTGTAAGCACAGTATATCATTCCTGCAATAGATTCAGGTTTCTAGTTGTGGGCCAATCCCTCCCTTGCTGACCAACCTTGGACAAGTCTTCCCACTTCTCAGAGACTCATTTTCTCCATATGAAAGCTGAAAGTATTCTAGTTCTGGTGCTCTGTGAGTTTATGGTGCAGCCTGAGTGGAGGCATCAGCCTACCTGGGAGTCAGGGCTCTGGGTTGGGCAAATGTACAGGAGGCCTTTCATCAGGGCCTTGCATTTCAAAAAAGAGACTTGCATTTCAAAAAAGCAGTGGTGGGGGCGCCTGGGTGGCGCAGTCGGTTAAGCGTCCGACTTCAGCCAGGTCACGATCTCGCAGTCTGTGAGTTCGAGCCCCGCGTCAGGCTCTGGGCTGATGGCTCGGAGCCTGGAGCCTGTTTCCGATTCTGTGTCTCCCTCTCTCTCTGCCCCTCCCCCGTTCATGCTCTGTCTCTCTCTGTCCCAAAAATAAATAAAAAACGTTGAAAAAAAATTTTTTAAAAAACAAAAAAGCAGTGGTGGAAGAAGTCATGATGTGTTCTGGGGGAGAGGGAAGAGGAATCACCATGGAGAGTACTTCTCACTCTTCTTAGCCATCCCTGGCACTCCAAGACCACCAAAGGAATGCCTATTGCTCAGTATGTGTATGGTGATATTTATCAGCCATCCTTTCTTCCACTTTTTTCTTGATTTCTGAGATACATTCTGGAATATTCAGGATTTAGAAAGAAGGTAAAACTATGATATGAAACAGAGGGCTTTTTCATGCTAGATTTAAATAATTCATGCCCAAACATGGTTCTGAGAGGCAAGAATTTTGTATATGGAGTGCACATCAAAGTTTTATAAGAGTTTAATATTACATTTTTTAGTGTAATCTAATAATTACTACTTATTGAATGCTTGCTTGCTGTGTAAAAGCATTGCCTTCAATCCCCTCAACAATCCTACCAAATAGGGGCCATTATCTCCACTCCTTAGTTGGTGAAATGAGTCTCGAAGAGATAAGTAACTTGTCCAGGCTCACAGAGCAAAGGAATTATGGAATTGAATTTCCAAAATTTTTGCTTACTATTACTGAAAAGAATCTATTCAAAGTCCCCCACACCCACCCCCAAAGCCAGGCTTACAGACAAAACTCACAGGTGTTTGTACTTGGCTCTAACTGTTTGTTTTTCTAGGTCATGGTGCTCTCCATTCTCAGGAAGTGGACCCCACCTACAAAATATTCTTCTCTAGCCAGATCACAACCCACATCCCACACAAGTCTCAGACGAAGCCCCTCAAAAAGCCTGCCACCTCCTGCTCTCCCTAAGAGTTGACCCCCTTCCCACAAGCCCACCATGGGTGCAGCTGAAACCCTCTCACATCCTTCAAAACCTTTAAAAGGCCCAGCCCAACAGAAACTCAGAGCTGACATCTGTCTTGATGTGTGGCCCCTCTCCCTTGGAGAGTAAATAAACTCTGTCCTGCTTATTGTTCTACTCTTTGTGCAATTCTTTGCTGCCCACATCACCAGCCACCCTGCTGTGTTTTGAAAAGTGTAGGTCATGTGGCACCTCGGAGGCTCAGTGGGTTCAGTGTCTGACTCTTGATTTCAGCTTAGGTCTCAGGTCATGATCCCAGGATCTTGGGATTGAGCCCTGCGTCAGGCTCCTTGCTAAGCATGGAGACTGCTGAAGTTTCTCTCTCTCTCTCTCTTCTTCTCTTCCCCCTTCCCTACTCTCTCTCTCTAAAAAAAGTGTAGGTCATGAATCAACACCATGTCAAAAAATTGTCATCACCAGGTTTTACAAAACTAAATAGAATAAAATATTCTAATATAGTATATTAGAGTATATCATCTTATATAATAAGGGTAAGTATTGCTTTGAGAAAGTATTTTCCACATATATGCACGCACATATATGCAAGTATATGTTCCCTGAAGTCAAATGTATTTATTGCGGATCGAAGTTTGAGAAATACTGCAGAATCCTGATGGTCTCAGCATAGATAATTAAAGCAGTTTGTTCAACTTTGATATTAATGGCTAACATTATTGGACTTTTACTATTGCCAACCATTGTGGTAGTAGCTTTCATAGATGACATTGGGTCATCTTCACAACAAACCTATTACTATTAGTCCCATTTTAGAGACAAGAAAAAGGGATTAAAGAGAGGTTAAATATATTGCTAAAGTTTACAGTCACTAGCAGAGTTAGGATATAACCCAGACCTCTGGGACAGTGGAGACTTGTGTTCCTAACCACTCCTCTTCACTGCCTGAGTGGGCTGCTGTGTTATGTTAGGAGAGGGGAGTAGCTATTAAAAATATATTCACAGAATTTCTTGGACATGACTCTGAAGGAGGTGTGGTAAGGTGGAACATGCTTATCAGACATAAAAAAAAAAAATGAGGGGCGCCTGGGTGGTGCAGTCGGTTAAGCGTCCGACTTCAGCCAGGTCACGATCTCGCGGTCCATGGGTTGGAGCCCCGCATCAGGCTCTGGGCTGATGGCTCAGAGCCTGGAGCCTGTTTCCGATTCTGTGTCTCCCTCTCTCTCTGCCCCTCCCCCGTTCATGCTGTGTCTCTCTCTGTCCCAAAAATAAATAAACATTGAAAAAAAATTAAAAAAAAATGAGGTATTTTATAACTGAGGTGATGCTTTGCTGACTCGCCAAACTTGAGTGCTCTGGGTCCCTTCAGGGTTAGTAGAGGCCAGTCAGTCAGTAAGATCCTGGCTCTGCCACTTACTGTGTGACCTTGGGAAAGTCACTTATCTTCTCTGTGCCTCAGTTACTCAGTATTTACCTCACAGGTTATTTGAATATCAAATGGGGTAATCTTTGCATTGCACAGTACTGATGTGCAGGAAATAATCACTAAATGTTAAATATTAATATTTTGAAGTTGTCTATATGTTAGGGAAAAAAAAATTATGATGACTGCCCTTACCTGCTTGAAGCACCGGAGACTTTAGTTCTACCTGGAGAGACCCGCCTTGTCTCAGGTCCTCAGTAGCTATCTTTTGCCACTGCAGAGAATCCATTTTCTCCATGTTAGCCAGACCCTGGCTTAGCTCCAGGGATTCCTCACACCTCTTATAAAGAAGAATATTCTCTTCTTTGCTTATAGATCCTTTTTTATGCCATTTGTCTCTGATGAACTTGGTCTGAGTCTAAGAGAAGGGAATGGGGGCAGATAGCATTTGCTATAAGAACTAGACCAGAAGCAAGATTTGTAATAGCCCAGTCCTCCTGTGCCTCCTTGTCAGGTAAACTTATGTTGATTGCTTTCATTTTGTTAAGAACCATTGCTCCTTTACATGGCAGCCCCTACCCTCTTCTAATGAAACCCATTTATACAAGGGAGAAATTCTATACGAATGTGACTTGTTCAAAGTCAGCTATTGCACTTGAGTCTTTTTCCTTGAGAGACCATGTCAACTCCCAGTTGCCTCTGGGAGAAATAAAAGTTTCCTTTACTTCAACAAATAAGGCTTTTAAGAGAGAAGTGGTTCTTTTTTCTTCCTAGAACCTCTTGATTCCTCCCCAACTCAAAGTCCCTCCTACTGTAAAAATGAGAAACCAGTAGTCCTCTTCATCCAGGAATTCATCATACCAGGGACTGAGCATCTGAAATCCAAACAGGACAACAACATGATGAGGGGATGCACAGTTTGCTGCATCTCTCATGCTAGTGTTCATGTGGGAGAAGAGCAGGCTACAGATTCTGGATTCTCTAATATGGAGATATAATCTAACAGTAAGCATTAGCCATGACCAACCAGGAGGCAACCTTTATCTCTCTGAATATGGCAGCTTGTGCAGTCTTTCTCTGAATCTCAAAAAATGGTAGTTGATATTTACTTAAGAAAAGATATAATTTGGAGGGGCAAGATGGTGGAACAGCTTGTATGCTTTTTTTTTTTTTTTTTTTTTTTTTGCATCTCTTGTCCATGAAATACAGCCAGATCAACACTAAACCATCCTGTACACCTAGAAAACATACTTGAGGATTAACACAACAATCTGCACAAACCTGAACCCCAGAACTCAGCAGGTATGTGGCATGGAGAGGTGAACTGGGAAAGAGAGAAGCCACAGAGGGCAGGGAGCTGTTTTTGCTTGTGGAGAGAGGATGAAGATGGGGGAAGGGAGTACAGGAAAAGCACCCCCCACCCTGTGCCAAAATCAGCTGAAGAGAAAGTGGAAAAGTGGAAACAGCTACAGGGACTGAACAAAAAAGGGAGAAAGGAGGAAGGAGAGGGTTTAAATTCCATTAAGACTCTATAAACAGGGGGAGAGCAGAGTCTGAAACTCCACAGCTCTATACCTGGCAGTGCTCTGGAGGGAAGGGTGAATCCCCAGGAGCAAAAAGCAAGGTCCAAGGGGTCCTTGGGCCAAATGGGGAGAGGTGGTTCCCCTGCTGGGAGGACATTTGGTAGAGGCTCTGCAGCCACCCCACAAGGAAAGATCCCAGTGGACCCTGGAGAACAGCCACGTTTGATGGTGCTGAAACAAGGACGTTAAGGGTGAAGCCTGGTGCCAGATGTGTGTTGTAATTTACCATATCTCTGAACTGCTGCTGCTACATGATCGCGTGAACTTTTTCTGGGGTGGCTGGCACCTAGCCACAGTCTGGGCATTGGCAGCAGCATGGTCCCATGAACATTCCTGGGGGTAGGCGGGCACCCAGTCATTGCTCAGTGAGACCCTCCCCCAGAAGGTCTGAGTGGGTCAAAGCCTCAGTCCCACAGAAGTGATGAGTTGGGAAACACAGCCACATCTGAGATAAAACTCAGGAGGGAGGGGTCACCTGGCAACCTGATGGCTTGGTCACGGACAGTGTAAAAGCAGGAGTGGTTGGAAGCCACATACAAAGAACAGGTGTGCGGTTGCTGATCAAGGAGAACAGAGTTCCGATACTAGAGACTGGGTAACTGGGTGACACCATTTTCACCCCTCCTGCGAATGCACATATACCTACAAGTGCCACAGCAATCCACCCAGTAAGCTAAGCAGCGCCATCTAGTGGAGAATGGAGATGTTACACTAAGCCCTGCCCAACTGGGCCAACCTCACTATTCAGGAACACCACAAGTTTCTCTGCCTGCTTAGTTTATGGACTATAAAGTGCTTTGTACTTTGACTTCTAGGGGAAACTGATGCAATTTGAATTGTATTTCAGTCTGTTTGCTGGTCTGTCTATTCAATTTTTTTCTTTTTCTTTTCCTTTCTTATTCTTGAATATGGAAAAAGAAAAAATATTTTTATTTTCAATTTTTATTAAAAATATTTTTCTTGGGGCACCTGGGTGGCTCAGTTGGTTAAGCAGCCAACTTCGGCTGAGGTCATGATCTCGTGGTCCGTGAGTTCGAGCCCTGCGTCAGGCTCTGTGCTGACAGCTCAGAGCCTGGAGCCTGTTTCGGATTCTGTGTCTCCCTCTCTCTGACCCTCCCCTGCTCATGCTCTGTCTCTCCCTGTCTCAAAAATAAAAGGTAAAAAATAAATAAATAAATAAAAATATTTTTCTTTATTTTTTTTCTGCTATATATTTTTTTAAAATTTTTCAAATTATATTTTACTTCCACCATTTCATTTTATTCTATTTCATTGTATTCATTTTTTCAAATTTTCAAATGTTGTCCCTTTTTCTTCATATCTTTTTTTCAAATTTTCAAACGTTGTCTTTTTTCTTTCTTTTTCTCATTTCTTTTTTTCTTTTTCTTTATCTTTTCTAATTTTCCCTTTTTTCTCATCTCTACAAACTCCTTTTAACAACCAGACCAAAACACACCTAGGATAGCATCGTTTATTTGATTTTTTTGTGTGTTGTTTTTAATATTTTAATTTTAATTTTTTAACTTATTATTTCCTTTTCTTCCTTCAAAATGATGAAATGAAGGAATTCACCCCAAAAGAAAAAGCAGGAAGAAATGACAGCCAGGGACTTAATCAACACAGATACAAGCAAGATGTCTGAACCAGAATTTAGAATCACAATAATAAGAATATTAGCTGGGATTGAAAACAGATTAGAATCTCTTTCTGTGAGATAAAAGAAGTAAAAGCTAGTCAGGATGAAGTACAAAATTCTATAACTGAGCTGCAATCTCGAATGGATGCCATGGCATCAAGGATGGATGTGGCAGGGCAGCGAAACAGCAATATAAAGGACAAATTTATGGAGAATAATGAAGCAGAAAAAAAAGGGAGACTCAGGCAAAAAAGCACGATTTAAGAATTAGAGAAATCAGTGACTAATTAAAAAGGAACAACATCAGAATCATAGGGATCCCAGGAGATGAAGAGAGAGAAAGAGGGGTAGAAGGGTTATGTGAGCAAATCACAGTGGAAACTTTCCTAACCTGGGGAAAGACACAGACATCAAAATCCAGGAAGCACAGAGGACACCCATTAGATTAAAACAAAAAAACCCTGACCATCAACAAGGCATATCATAGTCAAATTCACAAAATACTCAAGCAAGGAAAGATTCATGAAAGCAGCAAGGTAAAAAAGTCCTTAACCTACAAGGGAAGACAGATCAGGTTTGCAGCAGACCTATCCACAGAAACCTGGCAGGTCAGAAAGGAGTGGCAGGATATATTCAATGTGCTGAACCAGAAAAATATGCAGCCAAGAATTCTTTATCCATCAAGTCTGTCATTCAAAATAGGAGAGATTAAAATTTTCCCAAACAAAAATGAAAGGAGTTTGTGACCACTAAACCAGCCCTGCAAGAAACTTTAAGGGGGACTCTCTGAAGGGAGAAAAGATGAAAAAACAAAACAAAGCAAAACAAACAAACAAACAAAAAAAGCAACAAAGACTAGAAAGGACCAGAGAACACCACCAGAAACTCCAACTCTACAGGCAACATATGGCAATAAACTCATATCTTTCAGTACCCATTCTAAATGTCAGTGGACTAAGTGCTCCAATCAAAAGACATAGGGTAACAGAATGGATAAGAAAACAAGATCCATCTATATGCTGTTTACAAGAACTAAAGACACCTTCAGATTGAAAGTAAGGGCATGGAGAACCATCTATCATGCTAATGGTCAACAAAAGAAAGCCAGAGTATCCATACTTATACAATCTAGACCTTAAAATAAAGACTGTAACAAGAGATGAAGAAGGGCATTACATCATAATTTTAGACCAAGACCTAACCATTGTAAACATTTATGGTCCAAATGTGAGAGCACTCAAATATATAAATCAATTAATCACAAACATAAAGAAACTCATTGATAATAATACCATAATAGTAGACTTCAACACCCCACTTACCACAATGGACAGATCATCTAAACAGAAAATCAAGAAGGAAACAATGTCTTTGAATGACACACTGGACCATATGGACTTGACAGATATATTAAGAACATTTCATCCTAGAGCAGCAGAATACACATTCTTCTCCAGTGCACATGGAACGTTCTCCAGAATAGATTACATACTGGGACACAGATCAGCCCTCAACAGGTACAAAAAAGATTGGGATCATTCCATGCATATCTTCAGACCACAATGCTATGAAACTTGAAATCAACCACAAGAAAAAATGTGGAAACATAACAAATACTTGGAGAGTAAAGACCATCCTACTAAACAATGAATGGGCTAACCAAGAAGTTAAAGAGGAAATCAAAAAGTACATGGAAGCCAATGAAAATGATAACACCACAGCCCAAAACTTCTGGAACGCAGCAAAGGCAGCCATAAGAGGGAAATATATAGCAATCCAAGACTTCATAAAGAAGGAAGAAAGGTCTCAGATACACAACTTAAATTTATACCTTACAGAGCTGGAAAAAGAACAGCAAATAAAACCCAAAACCAGCAGAAGACAAGAAATAATAAAGATTAGAGCAGAAACCAATGCTATCGAAACCAAAACAAACAAACAAACAAACAAACAAACAAACAAAAAACCAGTAGAACAGATCAATGGAACCAAAAGCTGGTTCTTTGAAAGAATTAACAAAATTGATAAACCCCTAGCCAGTTTGATCAAAAAGAAAAAGGAAAGGACCCAAATAAATAAAATCAAGAATGAAAGAGAAGATCGCTTCTTGGCCTTTTGGCTAAGATCAATGAAAGAGGAGAAATCACAACCAAAACAGCAGAAATAAAAACAATAATAGAATATTATAAGCAATTATGTGCCAATAAAATGGGCAATGTGGAAGAAATGGACAAATTCCTAGAAACATATAAACTACCAAAACTGAAACAGGAAGAAATAGAAAATGTGAATGGACCAATAACCAGTAAAGAAATCGAATTTGTAATCAAACATTTCCCAAAAAGCAAGAGTCCAGGGCCAGATGGCTTTCCGGGGGAATTCTACCAACATTTAAAAAAGAGTTAACACCTACTCTCTTGAAGCTATTCCAAAAAATACAAATGGAATGAAAACTTCCAAACTCTATGAAGCCAGCATTATTACCTTGATTCCAAAACCAGACAAAGACCTCACTAAAAAAGGGGAGCTATAGACCAGTTTTCCTGATGAACATGGATGCAAAAATCCTCAACAAGATATTAGCCAACCAGATCCAACAATTCCTTAAAAAAATTATTCACCACGACCAAGTGGGATTTATACCTGGGATGCAAGG